GGTTTTTTTAATTTTAAACATCTATGTGAAAACAAAATTTCGATTGCGTTAACCGTACACCAAATTCGAATGCATGCCAGTGGCATGATGCCACTTTCCTGCAAAGAATAAAACAGTTTCTATTTTTCCACCATCAAAGATGAAATAGAAATAACAATAGTTCCTAGAAATACAAATAACAAAAAACGTTTAAACATCCGAAAGCAAGTGATTTTGATATAAATCTAAAACGAGAATGCAAATCAGCCTTATCAGAATCATATTCTTAATATTTCTTGTGTAAATTATTTATTATATTATATCTAACAAATTCTCCAAAAAAATAATGATTTGTTATGTTTATTATACTTAATAAACCTAATAAATCATCACTTATTTTGAAGACTATATAATTATACGATCTAAAAATAAAGAACGAACAAAAACAATATTTAAAATCAAAATTCCCGCCAGCCGCTTCTCGCTGCCCTCCGGACACGGCCGAATACTTCCGAGGTTTCCGTGATAATTAGTGTCGTCTAAAGTGAAAGATATTTAAATTGTGTGGATATAAAAACAACTTGCGTTAGTTTCACGAAATTTATTAAATATTGACAATTGTTTCGCTACACAGTAGCTTTTTCAGAATGTATTAAACTAATACTAGTACAAAATTTATATAATAAAAATATTTTTGTATTGTAGCCTAGAATTTCTAGGTAAGGATTTTTATACGACATCTACCTGTGTTACATAATATAAACCACTGCCACTACAACGTTTAAAACGATTATTAATCCGTAAACACACAGTAGAAACACGATATGCAAAAACAAAGATCATATGACCAGGGGCGGACCGTTGACTTTGGGGGCCCTGGGCTAAAAATCTTTTTTGGGCCTATATACAATAATTATATAAATAAAATATTTTAGCATTTTTACAAGGTGTCTCGAGAAGACGTGTACAATCATTATGCAAGGCCACATATTTCTTGGTTTTTCTTGGTTCAAAATAATTCGACTTAACCCAACTTACCTAAACAAAAATGTCTTTGTTTAACTGCCAGCGGCCTTTAAAGTATGTAAAAATATATAGGTACTGCAGTATATTACACTGATTAAGAAAAATCGACCATTTTTTATAATATCACCCAATAATATTATTGGTTTCTAATCGCGATTTTACATTTAAATTAAGTATACTATAGGTAAATGAGATTTTTTTATTTTGAAATTATATAACTCGTTAACGGATTAATTGACTAAAAAAACTATTTTAGAGAATTAAAATAAAGTTCACTTAATATTTTATGATAAATCTACCTACTCGTTAAAAAGTTATTTAAGAAAAATTTATACTTAGCAAATTTTAAGTTTTTCTTTTACAATATGTTGAAAAAGATCATACATTTTTTGTAGAACATTTTATTTTCTTTAAAAAAATTTCATTAAGTATTTTTTTAAATTTTTTTATGATTTACTGGTTTTACCAGTATAAATACAAATATTTTCTGCAATAAAATTGATAGGTATTTTCTTGAAATTAATTAGTATTTAAATCAGAATTATTAATTTAAGTTTATAAGTTTTAAAATTATAAAATTACACAATTTTAAAAAAAATAAAATGATTAACAAAAGTCATAACTTTTTGCTATAAGTCCGATAGTTTTAGCGGAAAAGTGAGAAAAACTTGAAATTTACTTTTGAACAAGTATATTTATTATAAAATAATAAGAGACCTATTTGTAGAGCTTTTACTTTAAATAATAAAATAAAATTATATTTTTAAAATATGTTGTTTTCATTTAAGTGCATTATTTCGTTAAAAAGATATATAATTCCAAACTTAATTTTTTTCTCATGCTATTTAAATGAAAAATAGAAAATCGCGATGAGGGGCCTAATAATAATATTAAGAGCTGAAATTTTAACAGGCTCAATATTTTACCTTTATGCAAGTACTTATTAAATAGTTGATTTTTTAATCAGTCTAATTTATATTAAAAAAAATTATTTGCATCGCGTAGGGGGCCCTCGATAGGACGGGGCCCTGGGCTGCAGCCCATAATGCCCATGCCTAAATCCGCCCATGCATATGACATATAAAAACAAATGGCCGACGGTAAAGTTGGTTGCCTTACTATGTAATAAAATAAAATAAATGCCTAAAACACGAACTCTACTGAATATAAATACGATGTGGCTCCCGTCCCGAGGCGGGACTTAAGTTCAGTCCCGATTGACGTCACACACTGTAAATCCGTTTTTATTCCCCGAGATTTTTTAATTTGTGTCAAGCTCGATGGCTTAGATGGTAGGGCGGTCGCTTGTCATGCGAGAGGTACCGGGTTCGATCCCACTAGAAGTTGTCAAACTTTTTTTATTTTTTTTATTTTATAAATTTGTTGTTTCTTTGTTAAAGAGTGTTTTATTTTTATCGTAACATAAATTTGCCCATTTTAGTTGGGTTTTTTGCTCAATGGGGCGGGGGGGGCCCAATGGGGCGGGGTCGGTTGGGTTGTGTTGTTGAGTTTGGGTTGGTTTGGTTTTATGACGTAACTAAAGTGCCCTTAACATGTATACAGGTACAATTTATTATTATTATTTTATTATAACATAACAAATCTTAAAATTATGACGTCAATCGGGACTGAACTGTCCCGCCTCGGGACGGGAGCCACAGCGATATAAATAACAAGCTAGGACACGCGTCATATGTCTATCTTTGTCCAACACCTAGGCAGTTTTAGATCACAGATGGCGCATTTTAGACCGGATGCTTAAAAACCTACGTGTGAGTACATTTACCGCTGCATCGAATGTACAAGACAAGTAAAACATTACTGCTAGCATGTCTGAGATATGTTCGGCACCCGATGAGTCACGTTCATATATTAGTGGTTTCTACTGTAGGCAACCCAGTCTACATCGATGTCTACATTGCGCTTGCTGTTTTTTGTGTGTATTAAGTTGATGTAAACAGACAACTTAACAGACGTATGTTTCTTAAGTTAAATTAAGTTACGCATATTAAGTGGATGTGAATGAGCTTTTAGATTTTTTTACGGAGTCAATTAAAACTTTCTTTTTTTAAATTTATTTTAGTGTTTAGTGATATAACTTGAAAAAACTTTTTGTTTGGTATAAAAATCTTTTTTCTATTTGCATACCATAACAAGTCCAGCAGACCACCATGGTAGCGCAGGCCACCGGGCATTCGCCCGGTGTCCCGGCGGCCCAGCACGCCCCTGAATAACGTACATGGTAGGTAAAGATAGTGCAGGGTCTACAAATAGACATTTTGATTAAAATTATTCAAACAGATGGTCACCAAATTCATTAAGTACCTATATTACGAGGTATCATATTACTGTTTGATATTTTAGAGTCCAAGATATATCTAAAAGAATATAAAGAACTACTAATGAAATGCATTTACGACAAAATATGATTATATTTATAGGTACTTACTTTATTTGTTTAAAAGCTCCAATGTTCAATGTAACCAACCATTCCACAAGATTCCTTTGCTTTGGAGTCCGTTATCAATAATATCAATTACAAATAACATAACAATAACATTGATTTTCAATAATCTAAATTTAAAAAAAACATAACCCGAAAAAAAGAAACGGGGTCAGAATTTCTCAAACGGGCCACCTGAATTAGGTCAAAATTAGTTTTTGATTGTAGATACATTTTTTCGATAGTATTTTACATCACTAACACAAATCCTAAAGGATTTTGTAAAAAAAAAATTTTCAATTGACATATTCATGATATTAAAAGTAAAAGTTTTTAGTAATAAAAAAATAAAAAAAAATCATTATGGCTAAACTAATTATCCGATTCCAACGATTTAACTAGCGTTGGAATCTCGTTTTGACATAGATTCTTTGTTATTTTTTTCAACTGTAAAATTTTCATTTAGTTCGATTTTTTTTTGTTTTTTTTATAACAAATTCGGAAATAATTGGCTTCTGCGCCAGCTATCGACTCGAAAAAAAAAACACATATACTCCAATCATTCTTCGAAATTATGCTGCTGAGAAAAAAAATGGCCCGCAGGTTCCAGACCACCGTAAGACGTCGCGTCACAAGCGCGTACAGCGTACACGGTTCGGAGCGTGAGCTGACACCGCGCGCGGCCACAAAAGGACGAATAACTTTTTGTCAACCTGCGGGCCATTTTTTTTCTCAGCAGCATAATTTCGAGAAATGATTGGAGTATATGTGTTTTTTTTCTAGAGTCGATAGCTGGCGCAGAAGGCAATTATTTCCGAATTTGGTATAAAAAAAACAAAAAAAAATCGACCTAAATGAAAATAGGACAATTGAAAAAAATAACAAAGAATCTATGTCAAAACAAGATTCCAACGCTAGTTATATCGTTGGAATCGGATAATTAGTTCAGCCATAATGAATTTTTTTATTTTTTAATTATTAAAAACTTAGACTTTTAATATCATGAATATATCAATTGAAAATTTTTTTTTTACAAAATCCTTTAGGATTTGTGTTAGTGATGTAAAATACTATCAAAAAAATGTATCTACAAACAAAAACTAATTTTGACCTAATTCAGGTGGCCCGTTTGAGAAATTCTGACCCAACGTCAAAAATTCAATTTTTCTTCTTCTTCTTAATTAAAATTATAGATCAAGTGGTTTTAAAACTAAAATATTATAACGTGGCGCCATCTATCGTAAGAATCTTAAACTAAACACACTGGCAACCATAGAAAAAGCTGGCAACGTTGTCAATAGCCTAGTGACGTAATTAGGAGATTTTTTTTTGTAAATATCTCGAAAACGGTAAACTCAATTGAAATTCCGATTTCACAGAAATGTTTAAAATTACAAAACGCCTTGAATAAAACCATAAAAAGTATGGGTCAGAAAAAATTTAACTACCCCATTATCGTATCATTGGCAACGCTGATCAAAGAACACCTTCTTTGAATACATGTGAGACAAACAAAATCTACGGTTGGCAACTCTGCCACTGTGTTTTGACCCTGGTTTTGACACTCATAACTATTGCCACGTATTTTTTAAATAGAAACCCTAGGATATAAACATTTTTATACGTAAAAATGGAAGGATCCTTATTGGTAATAATTACAATTTTTTCTTGGATGTTATTTTAAACTATATAATTTTCTAGGAACCAACTCTTTATACTGTAAAAGGTATTCTTATCTTGGATAATGATGGGCAAAGAATTCTTGCAAGATACTATGCTAAAAACATATTCCCAACTCCAAAAGAACAAAAAGCCTTTGAAAAAAACCTATTTAACAAAACTCATCGTGCAAATGCAGAAATTATAATGCTTGATGGCCTAACATGTGTATATAGAAGTAATGTTGATTTGTTCTTTTATGTTATGGGTAGTTCTCAAGAAAATGAGGTAAACAACTTTGGTATAAATAAAATTATATTTTTTTATAAATGATATTCATTTTTAGTTAATTCTAATGAGTGTACTAAATTGTTTATATGATACTGTTAGTCAAATACTTAGGAAGAATGTCGAAAGAAGGGGTGTTTTGGATTATTTAGATATTATAATGTTGGCAATTGATGAAATTTGTGATGGGGGGTAAGTTATTATCTATTTATATAGGTACAGTCATAATATCACATGAGTACAGTAACTATATATGCTCCACACAAGAAGACAGGAGGAGTAACTCCAAGACATAAAACACTCCCAGAGTGTACACACAAGCATTTTGCATTGTACACACTATGTTTGTGAATGAGAGTATTTTTCCCGAAAATAGGTTATTTTTGTTATGCTTGCCCTATCAAAAAATTGTGTTACATTTTTGCAATATATGTAGAAGATATTTAAAAAATAATTTTTGAAACCCTGTATCTTAGTAAGAAAGCATTTCGGGACATATGTTTATATGAACTTTTTTTTTTAAAACATAGTAAGGAATTACGTCCTAAAGTTAGGGTCCCTAAACACCCCATAGGTATATATATATGTCAGGATCGGGGCCGGATCCAGGATTTTGAGAATGGGGGACCACAAAAATGTCTGCACTTTCTTTGGATAATCACTTTTTTTTTTTTTTTTATTGAAAAATAATATCCAAATAGCCGAAATGGGCTTTGACAGATATGTAATTTACAAATAGTTTTAAAATTAACATTTAGTAATAAATAATTAAATTATACATGGGTCTTCTTGTCTTTGGTCCACTAAATATTGCTTGACACTCTTAACAAACTCTGTTTCATTTTGCTGTTTGATCTCGTTTGGTAATTTGTTGTATATTTTGATGCCTTCTGTAAGAATTCGTTTTTCGCCTATTTTGGTTTTATGTGTGACAAAATTTAGTTCTTGATTTCCTCTGGTGCTGTATTGATGTACGTCGGCTCTTGTTGTTATTTCTATATCTTCGTCTTGGATTTGTTTGTTTAAAATTTTTCTTACCAATTTTATGGTCTCCAGCTTTCTAAGTTCTTCTATTGTTAAGGTTTTTGTTTTATGGTATACTTCAGTTGTTGCAGTATGCCTTGGTAGTCTGTGCAAAGGTTTTAATAGTTTATTTTGGCTTCTTTGCAATTTGTCTAAATCTTTTTTGTTTCCTGTTGCCCAGAATGATATTAGGTAAGTCAGCTTGCTTTTAATATAGGCTTCATATATCAGTTTCCTTTCCTTTTCCTGCAGTACATCAGCTACCTTATGCGCTAGTCCATTATAATATGCCATTTTTTTGTTTTGAGCTCTTATGTGTGATGTCCACTTTAAATTTTTGTCAAGAATAAGACCTAAGTATTTAATTTTTGTTTCTTCGCTAATAGCATCATTTCCGATTTTTATATTTAGGTTATGGTTTTTTATTTTGTTTTCAAAATGTATCAGATAACATTTTTTGCTGTTTATCGTTAATTTGTTTGTGTTTGTCCATTTAAGTAGTTTGTTAATGTCATTTTGAATTTGTTCTTGCGTTGTTTTGTTGTCATTATTTACATAGAAAAACGCAGTATCATCCGCATATATCATTATTTTACCAGAAAAATTGTACAGATCCAGGTCATTTATATATAATAAGTATAGGTAAGGACCCAAAATGGATCCTTGGGGTACCCCAAAATTTATATTTTCCCATTCACTGACTTCACTTCCAACTTTTGTGTACTGCTTTCTATTTGTTATATAAGATCTGAGCAGTTCAAGCGCTTTCCCTGCCACTCCCATTTTAATTTTTTTATTAATATTGACGGTTCTACTGTGTCAAACGCCTTTTTAAAGTCTAATATAAGAGCAGTTACACATTTTCCTTCATCCATTTTAGTTTGTATGAAATTTAATAGATTTGCCATAGCTGTTTTGGTGCTTTTTTGCTTCTGGAAACCATGCTGTGCCTTTGAAAGTATGTTTAAATTTTGTATGTGCGTTGCCAGTCTATTGTGTAGTATTGTTTCAAATATTTTGCTAAATACAGTTAAATTTGCGATTGGTCGATAGTTGCTGGGATCCGTTTCTTTACCAGATTTGTGAACAGGTGTGATTCTAGCAATTTTTAATTCTTCCGGGAAAACTCCTAGTTTTAGATAGTTGTTTATTAATTTTGTTATGATTGGTGCAATAATGTTTTTTAGTTCTTTTATTAGTTTTGGTTTGATATTATCATAACCTGCTGCGGAGTTTGATTTAAGTTTGTTGATCGTTCTTATTACCTCCTTATATGTTGTCGGTTGTATATACATGGATGATGTGGCCGCGTACTTTTTTTCATCCTTTCCAAGATTTTCTCCGTTTATTTTTTTAGCTAGGTTCTCACCTACTGTAGGTGACCTACATTAATAAAATAGTTATTTAAAGTTGTCGCTATTTGTTTTTTTTCTCGAGGTATTATTTCCACTTTCAGTTGTTAGTTTGTGTCGTACCTAGGCTGGTTATGGCCTTAAGTACTTCACCAAGGTTCCTCTCCGGTTGACTCTTCAGATATAGAGGAATACCTACCTCGGGTTGCTTTTATTCAGTGGAGAAAGTAGGGTTTATAAGAATCAGTTAGGTTTGGTGGTTTAATTTAAAATGCAAAAGTAAACTTAAACTGGTTTATTTACCAAGGTAAAAGTATGTACAAAATTATATTAGAATTATATACAGTATTTACAGTATTTACAAAAGTATCGTAGACTTTGCACACAAGGGTTCTTGCATAGCCTTTAATCAGGACAGGCAAATGTTCCAGGGCTTTTCACAGGCAACTGGCAGGCACGGGCGTAGTCTTCAGTCCTACAGAGAGACAGGGCAGATTTGCAATTGGACTCTAGTGGAAAAATACATGTTGTTAGGTTATGTTATATGCATACAGGATTTACAGTTTCATTAACTCTGCTATTAAAGCTTAATATTATACGGCTTTAAGCCCTTTGATATTAAAAACAGGTTAACTTACTGTTAATATTCCACTGAGAGTTCTCTGTGATTTAGTGGTTGGTTTTGGGCTCACAATTGATAACACCATTTGGAACTGAGCCACCAGACGACTGATTGTCCATTGAAAAATGCAGCGGTTTTATAGACGAAATTCTGATGACCGACTTGATGAAAAACAATTGGGGCCGCGTGCAATAAATCCTTCACACGGGCCGTGTGCAACAATTGTTGACAACATATGCGGTCGACAGCTGTTCAAGCGCCATCTGTTAGAGTTTCGTCTAACTGCAGGTTTCTGGTAGTCCAACTCTTTCCTTGACGTCGGGTAGTTAGGAAATCGTCTCATAGATGTCGTAATGTGTATCGTTAGTAATGATTCATTACAAGTTCTTTGATGTCATTTGCCTTAAGTGTTTCTCCGTTTTCTAGGTTTTTAATAATAGTCCACAGTTTTTTATTATTTCCTTCTGCACTCTTTATTTGATTTTTATAGAAATTTCCCTTTGCATTTTAATACTTTTTTTTGTGTCTTTATCATGTTCCTTGAATTTTTGTTTACAGTAAATTGAATCCCTATTTTTGACCATTTTAGTGTACCAGGTATTTCTTTGTTTGATTTTTGTGTATATACTATACGTCATCCATCCTTCTTTTTCTGATGAAGCAAATTTTTTTATTTTAGTTGTGCTTTCTGATAGCGTTTTTTTAATTTTCTTCTGCAATTCTTCAAAAGAGTTTACTTCCATATGATTTAATTCAGCTATTAGTTTATCTTTTAATTGTTTATAGTTTGTTCGAATATGATTATAATTTTTATTTTGTACTGCCTTTTTTGATTTTATTTTGACTTCAAACTTAATACATTTGTGGTCACTTAGCGGCGTATCCGTTAGATTTAGTTCAGAAAAACAATTTGCATTGAGATTTGTTAGTACATGATCTATTATTGTACTTTCTCCATTTTCATTTATTCTTGTTATGTGTTTCCTAGTAATTTTGTTTATTATTTTTATGTTATTGCTTTTTAACAGGTTTTTATAGTCTCTCTCCTTTTGCTTATTTTTATTTAATAGGTTGAGGTTTATGTCACCCACGATTATTAAGTTTTTTGTTTGTAATATTTTTTCTTCTAGATACTGGTTGAATATGTCTGTGTCACTTTAGTTTTGTCTGTATATTGCACATATATTGGTATTTGAGTCTTTTAAGTTTATTTTTATAAAGCTATTTACATTTTCTACGATATCACACAGAGATACACTAAAGTTTATTTTTTTCCTGATATATATTGCAGCTCCCCCTCCTCTTCCTTTGGTTCTACATGAGTGTACACTATTGTAGTTTTTTATTTGAAATAGTGTAGTTAACTCTTCTTTTAGCCAAGTTTCAACTAGAATAATGACATCAGGTATATTTTGGCTAATAATAACTTTTAGTTCGTCAAACTTTTTTTGCATGCTACGTATGTTGAGATATAGGATTTTAAGATCTTCTAGTTTTTTGTCTCTATGCTTTGTAGGGTTGCTTCGTCAGTAACGGTGATTATTTTACTGTTTTCTGTCTTGCGTAAGAAAATTTTTCCATGTGCAAACCACGCAAATTTGTAATTTAACTCTTTTTTCTTGTCACGTGCCAACTTAAATAAGAACTGATTTTGTTTTGTTAGCTCATGATTAATGAAGATTTTGTTATCACCATTTAGGTTGAGATTTTTTGTTGTTAATTCCTTATCTTGCCTTTTCATGATTTTTTCCTTTATTTCTTTGCTTTTGAAAACTACTTTTATTTGTTGTTTTTCCTTTGGACCTATTTTGTAGCACTGTTCTAAATCTTTTCAGTAATTTTTGAAAATATAGGAATATACTAATTGGCCTGAAGTCTGATGGACCACTTGGCTTATTTTCTTTGGGTATTAATAGTATTTTTGCAGCTTTCCAGAGCTCTGGTACAATTCCATTTGATAGTGATACATTAATAATATGTGTAATCTGTGGGAGGCAGTGTGGTAATACTATTTTTAACATTTTAAGATCAATGCTATCAACTCCAGTATTCGATTTGAGACTTTGTACAACCTTTAATACATCATCCTCATAGACAGTCTGAAATTTTGCACTCTCATCAACATTGGGTTTTTTATTGTTATTAAAGTATTGAAGAGTATCTTGTGTTACTTCAAGGTCTCCAATCAAGTTTGT